CAGACAAATGAATTTTATCTAATTTTAAGAGTGGAGATATTACATCTCTTTGTTATAAATAAACTATTTTTTATTGAATTAAAATATATTTGAAAACTTAATTTCATTACAAAATATTTTACAGTTTTGCACCGACAGTACTAGTACTAAGAAACAAAATAGAAATTTTTAACAAATTAAAAAATTCTTTATAAAATATAGATAAAGCTTTCCTGATATCTTTACAAAAATCCCCACTAAGTAGCAGGATCAAAAATGTAAATTATCCATTTAAAAAAAATCTGCGGTGTTTCATTAGGCATAATTAAATATGAATCTTAAAAAATAGACAGAGTAAGTAAAAATGTAGCGAAAAGTAATAAATATTAGTTAATCTAAATTGTATTTTATTAGCATGACATTCATTTTTGGGCCAGAGGCTTCCCTAGAACGTACCATCATTCTGCTCTTTTATTTGTCTTATATGGCAATAATTATTTTTAAATCTCTAAGTGTAAACAAGTGAATGTAAGCACATATCAACAAGTGAAAAAATAAAAATTTTGCATTAAAAAAATACAGGGGGTAAAATATGTTCTAGAGAGACTATTTATTTGCACTAATCATTTTCTGAATATCCATTAATAGAAATATCAGTCATGGTTTAAAATTAGGTCAATGCATTCTTTGTTCAGTCATCAGCAGTATTTTCTACTTATCAAACATAAACCATCTTTGCTTACATTTAATGCATTTGAAATATCACATAATTTAAGTGAGTTTATCATCTGTTCCAAAACGGCTGAACTGACTACAAACCTGTCACTTCTTTCAGAGTTAGTCTTTTTATAATGTCGGCAAGGGACCTTTGTTTTTTCCTTTTGGAGTGTGAGAACCTTTTGTTTCTGCTTTTACAAATCTGCGGCAGTTCCAAGTTAACTTCTATGAATTCGTATTTTATAATAATAAACTTTTGTCCATAAGAGGTGTGATTGTATGTTGGAATCCCGGAATTCCGTGTCTTTCGGGTTTTAAAGTTAAGAGCGCATGCTATATGATTTTTCTGGGAACATTGTGGAATTCTGCGTTTCTCAAGACTATTGGTTCTGAACTTTCGCTAATCAAAAACTTATAGTCAGTCGAAATTTTTACGGAATTTAAATTGTGAAAGTTTTGCTAATTCCCACTAAGGAGACGCTTATATACACATGATTCTTCGGCCAATGGGCATAGGTTCACATTTTTTTTTAAAATTTGTTTTCTTGATGTTTTTTATGATAAATTTTGATAATATAATTTTATAAGGCAGCTTAATCTTTTTCAAAAAGGGTAAAAGATGAAGTGCACTTATTATATTTGGTGAAATGGCGTTTTTAGAACTTCTATGAATTTTTCCTCAAAACTTTAAAGTAATAAAAAGAAATTAGTGGTTTTGTGTAAGTAATTTAAAACTACACATTTCTCAGTTTTTATATTTTTTAAAATCTAATCTTATTACAGTTTAAATTAATGAAAAGTGATTTTGAAGACTCTAACAACTTTCTTTTATGTTAGTTTCTTAAACTTTCATCTTTCAAAAACTGTTGAATACAGTATTGTATTGGTGCAATTTTGAGAAAATAATAGATATAAAATACTGCACACTTTGTGATAAATTGTGGTCGGGTGACAGCCTTACATTTTATATATAATGAAAGATAGTGCCAAGCAGAGTAAATATCCTTCAACAGTTTATTTGTAAAAATTAATACACTTTTTAGAATTTTCTCTCCTTGTCTCCATGCTTTTGACAGTTATGTTTGGTCAAGAAAGGAAGGGCCTTGTAAGGGAAAGAAGTTCATGCTAAAATTTTAATATTGTTAATAAAATGTATTTCTAAGAAGCAATAAATTATCTGTAAATTGTATTATGTCTTCTTTTTACAAATTTTTCCGTAAAACATAATGCAGCACAGTTAACTACTATATTTTAGGATTTTTGACTTTACAATAATCATACTTTTTATGATTGCAACAACCTTTCTTTTTTTCTCAATGTCCACCTGTTGACATTCGTTATTCGAGTATCGGTCAGGCAGATCTGTGTGCCACTCTTTCAGGAATGCCATATTATGTGGACCAACGTTGCTCCCACAGCAAAGACAGATAGTACAACCAGGGGTGTGTCAAGGTTATTTTTATAAGAGTAACCTATTTTGTGTACAATTAAAAAATCAACACAAAAATAAGGTGAAGTTAGAAAATATTTTCAAAAATTGTCACTACAAATAAAAAATCATTTATGACTGTTGAATTTCTATTTTTAACATATAATCAAAAACAATTTTGCTATTGTAAAATTTTGGGCTTAAAATTGTGTCCAAAATTAAAAATCCATAAAAATTATTGTCTAAAGTTAAATTTCAATTTGAATTTAATAAAAACATGCATTTAACTGTACTAACACTATTTTCATTATAACTTTTTTGACTGTGCCATCCAAAAAAAAGTTTTGCAGAAAAAATTTTTTTTTCATAAAAAACAAAAGTCTGTTAGAATTAATTTATAATAATATTTGAGATATTAGTTTCAATTTCAAATCCCTGTAAAGTTTATGGTTTCGTCGTCTCTTTAATATAGCGTAAGTAGCCGTTTAGATTTACCACCCCGCAGTATCTGCTTCCTATTCGTAGAAGACAGCTGGCGAAAAAGCTTCTTTTTTTTCTCTCTCCATAGATTGCAACAAGAACGGGGCTTACTTGGTACTAGCTCATTTTCTTCTACCAGGCATGGGAGGGAAAAGCTCTCTTCTTACGAACCGGGCAGGAAACGAATTCTTTTATTACGTCATCATTTATTATTATTATATATATTATCATTATATTTATTTATCATCATTCATTTTATTACGATAGCAATCCATTGGGTTCCATTGCAAGTAGAAGTCCGTAATTAACCCAAGATTGATTGTTTTTTACAAAAATAAAATTTTAAGAGGCTGGGTAGAGTGTCTCACTGTCTTAAAACTTGTTTTTTTTTTTTAATGTTTTTTGTTCAACTGGCGCTTTTTTAAGTTGCATTTGTGAAGGTACTTCTAAACTATAGTAAATTTTTCCTGGACAGACCCCTGCTTACAGAAAATTAAACAACATCCTTGCCTAATCAGGGATTTCAACTCTACACAGTCCCTTCGGTTTATTGAAATAACTAGGAAATTCACCAAAAAGTTTAACATTTACCTCTAATTCCGTTATCTGGGGACAAGATTATCGGGCACTACACGGTTTATTTAATTCCAACTTTATAGTTGGCAAAGTTAGTTGTCTTTGAATTTAGTAAGAAAATATCAGTTTAGATACAAGTGTTTAATAATTTTTTTTAATGTTTTCTTCATAAGTAAACTCAGATGTTTAGTAGTTAAATGTTTTTCGTTGTAAAGGTTTTAATATTAAGAAAAATTTGTTTTATAATACACGTTGATATTTTTTTGCAGAATTTTTTTTTCCTTTTGCAGGTTGTGTAAATTTGACGTATCTTCCTGAGGAGTATGGAATATCCTTCACTGTTACTATAGATAAGCTTACCATTTATAATGAAACCATATCAGGTATAGTAATGTAATTACCATTGAAATATAAGTATTAATTTGCGTTCAATATATAAATGTTTTTTGATTTTTTTTTTACAATCTTATGCTTTTTTATTTCATGACATACTGTTTATTATAGTCTTATTTTCTCTGCTTTTTCTGAAATCTTACATTATTCTTGTTTAAGATTTAAACAAACATTTGTTGTTAAATGATGTAAGAAGATATAATAAATTATATTTATTCACTATATTTTTCCGTTGTGACGCTGGACTTAATACACAATGCTCTGCAGTAATAGAAAGGACATTTTCAGTATTTACATTTGTCTGATTTTTCAAGAAATATTTAAATAAAACTTTAGAGGTGTTTAAATCTTGCAATTACTCATGCTTATCAATGATATTTGATGCTTTCAGAATTTTAGGAACAAGGAATAAATTAAGAACGTTAAAAGAAATTTTTTTGAACAGGAGATACAACAATTAGCTTGTAACTAGTGTTTATTACTTTAGTTATTCTAAGCAAGAACTGCATCAGAATTTAGAAACCTTAACACATTTGCTGCCACTAAAAATGATATTTCCATCCTCAGAAGCCTGATTGCAGAACAGGGTTTTAATGGTTTAAATGCGACGCGCTGGCGCATCGTCGGCATACCAGGAGGTGACACGCTAGTGGGTCAGTGGCAGCGAACGTGTTGAAAGGTATTCAATAAAATCAAACCAAATTTTCAGAGTTATTTTTGTTATTAATCATTAATTATGCAATATGAGCTTAGTGATTCTTACATTCTGAACATTAATGGAAATCATTTAATAAAAGTTTCATAAAATTTTTTGTAAATCATGTTTGGTTACTAAAGTAAATCATGTTTGGTTAACTTGAAAATTTAACACATTTCTAGAAATTTGCTTATAAGTTTTTGTACTTTATAATGATGAGTTTTCTGTATATTTTATAATGAAATTGCTTAGTTGAAAAATTTATCAAAATCTTGTTTCAAGCAAGCTGAGTTGCTAGTGCAACACATAGGTTCTATCTCCCTATTAAATTATGGTTCATTTCCCAAAACTTTGTTACTTATACTGTCACTGTTTGGTTAATAATTGTAGGATGTTGTCATTTGTTATTTAATTAGTTTCTTATTATTTTTAACATTTACATATCTTTGATTTTGTTCCCTTGTCTTGTAGCAAAAAATCCACCTCCTGCATGTTTTGGAGCTCCAATTTTAAAAGATTATGCTGACCTCTGCCTTCGCTTTTATGATTTAGATGTATCAAAGACAAAACTACACGGTTGTGTGAAGATAGAAGCAAGATTACACTATGTCATTGTTGGAGAATATAAGATAGGCTGCTTTAATATAGGACAAAGCAGATGGAAAATTTATCATAAAAAGCTAGTGCAGCTTATTCGTGCAAAAAATAAAATTTTGATTAGTGAAAATAAGATTTAGTTAATATTATTTTTAGAGAAATTTTAATATATATTTATTATTTGAATATGAACTTTATATAGATTTGTGTGTGTAATAATTGAAAGAAAAAATAATTGAATTTTTTATTTTGTACAATTTTTATTGATCGGGTAAAAGAAATTACTGACTTTTACATTAATTTTATTGACAGGAGATAATCTGATTCATTATTCCTTAAATGTTTATGAGCTTGTTTTGCTCTTTGTGTTTTACATGCTCTTTTGTTCTGATATGTTTTTACTTTTATGCTTCCTAAGTTGACTTGTTTTTCATACTTTATTTTAATGTTCATTAGGGTAGTAATTTGAATTAAAGTTTCCAAGAAGGCATTTCAACCAATGACACAGAAACGTTATATTTCATTACAAATAGATAATGTTAAATATTTAACATTATGATAAAAATTCATTGTATTTGAAATGTTTTTTTTTTCATGCAAAATTATCCAATGTGATAATCCGAAAAGAATTTTCCTTACATTTGAAATATGAATATTTCTTTTGATGGTTTTAAATGTGATAATTCTGAGCTTGTTTTGCTATATCTTTTTCATATGCTAGATGTTATGTTCTTGTTTATGTATTTCACTACTATGTTTACCCTGTTAAATATATTTTTTGGTTTGGTGAACTGCTTGTATGAGCCTAGAGATTATCAAATTGATTTTAAAGTAATCACCCCAATAGCACATATTTTAACTGTATGCGGGTTTCCCGTGGTCTTGAAAAGTACTTGAATTTCATTTTGGTTTTCAAGAGCCCCATGAAATCCTTGAAAATTTCAAAATGACCTTGAAAAATATCAGAAACTTATGAAAACCAGCATTTTTTCTTGTATTTCTGTGTTGAACTTCTCGCCCAAATAAAGTTGGTTACATCTGTATATTAATTTATGCTTATGGTTACAAAATCCATAGTGTGCATATATATCAATATCATTCCCATCACTGATCATGGGTTTGCAATACTACTGTTTAAGTATGCCTTTTGTTTTTAATTAATACTTGAATTGAAAATACCACAAATTACAGTATTAATTTTCTGGTCAATTTTGGAATAATGTACGTAGTACACTTGAACGGGTAGTAAAATTATTGCCAAAAATTTTAAGTTTCACATCTTAACAATTTGATATCTGTTGTGCATTAATTGTTTAAAAAATAGGTGCACATTGAAGTTATTGTAGCCAGTTTTTTAATATGTGATTAAATATTTTTATCTGATTCTTATTTTAATTTGTTATTTTATACTTTTGTTTTGTACAACTTGGCAGTAATATTTAATGTTCCTTTAAGCATAAGAATACTATATAAAATTTTGATTAAAGTTGTGGTCCGCCATTTTACTGAAGTTTTAAATTTCGGTCCCTCGGCCTTGTAAGTTGGAAACCCCTGGTCTAGGCATACAAGTCATAAACTTTATGTGCATATTCAATACATAAACTTTAATTGATCATGAATGTGCAATTTTACAGAGAGTTTTTACTGAAACGTTTTAGAACTTTTCTATGTGATATTTGGCAAAACTGGTTCGATGTTTCACAAAATACTTCAAGATTGTATATTCTATTTTTATAATAAATATTTAAACTTAACAAATGTCTTGTCTTGATTAATATTTATAGGCTCTATATACATATCAAGTGCGTGCATGAAGTACCAAAATTAATATTCTTTTGCCTCCTTTAAAATTCTATATGTTAATGATTTATAAGGTAAATTTTTTATTATCTTATGATTTATTATTATGATGGTATATTGTAAGAGTCACAGTATAAAAGATAACAGCACAAAGATACATAATTAATTTAAAAATAACATCGAACTGAATTTATATGCAATTTTGGCTGTTTGTTTTGTTATTTACAAGCTTCATGAAATTTCTATCTATACTTAGATCTCTTGATATTCAAAAAATAAAAGTATTTTTGATTACTTTAATTTTTTGTAATTCTATCCGCACAATGTGAAGCTTTCCTTTTAAAAATAATTATTTTCAATTTTGTTCCCTTTTTTGGGGGGGGGGAATGAAAAATTTAAAGCCTTATTCTACATATTTTTTTGAATCTCAATTTAGAAATTTTGTCATGGAATTATTTTAAATTCCTTTATAATTTGTTATTATGATGTCATATAGTGAAGAAAAAAGTAATATTAAAGTAAACAGCACACAAACTCATCATTGATTAAAAAATGGTTTATTCACTAAAATTTATATGTCATTTATGTTGTTTGTTTTGTTACTTACAGCTGCATAATATTGTATTGATTCCTAGATCCGTCAATATTCAGAACTTTTTCAGGACATTGTAACTATCTAAAATTATTGCAATATCTGTTATTGAAATTTATGAATTAAATGTCTACCATAAGTAGAAAATATTCCAGTCAATTTCTAGTTATTAATGGAGTGCAGTTTTTGTATATTATTGACTATGAAAATTCTAAAAAATTTATTTGTTTTAAATATTATGCAATAATTAGCTGTTAGCTTGACATATTTTGCATAATCTACTGGATTTTTTTCTTTCTGCATGTTAGCAGCTTGATCATAATTTTTAATGCAATTTTTCCACAAGATTTAGAATTTGCCTTTTTAGATCTATATTTTAAAAAAAAAATCGTGACTCAGGGGGTTTACTTTTAGTAAACACGGGTGTCACAATCCCGAGTTCCCCAGTGATATGTTAGATTCTTCTTAAATAATTTTTTTTTAAAAATAGTACTCATTTGACGAATCCTTAATCGAACTAAAAAAATCTTGGTTACATTTTCTGTTTCTTAGCCAAGTTATGTATTTATTAGTAGGTTCTAAATGCTATATGCACCACTAAATCAGATCATAATTCATAAAAATATTTTTTTATTAATTTTGAAACATAAAATACCTATTAAAATTTATACAATCATTGCATTATGATACTTAAAACAGTATAAGAAAATACTATTTTCTGTTAACACAACCCTGGTGCTATCTTTATCTCTTGTCACTCTAGAAATCTAAGACTGCACCTGAAAATCCTACTATAGTTGCCGAATAATATTGTAGTATTTCATTTCCTGAAAGTATTGAAGAGTGAAGTCCTTATTGTTTGATGGAACACATTACATATAAAATGCAGAGCTGCTGCTGTCTCTTGATTTAAGAATAATATCAGTTGTACTATCCCGTTACTCAGTCTAGTTCTATGTTAAGAACACATATATCTATTTCTCAAAAAAAACTATTACAAGGTACTGAAACAGCTTTGTTCTTCAGTTCGGTTATCTAAACTGTACGGAAAACTAAAATAACTTTTTAGTTTTCACTGTAATATTGCGAGATATAATGCCAAGACTTAATTGCTTACGTAAATTATTCTGTTGTGGAAAATGCTCTTGCCACAAAAGAAATGCTTACAAGAACACAAGATTAAGAGAAATTAGTTACGATAATTAACTATCTCATATACACGAAAACAAACATAATCAGTTTAATAGGTAAATAACAAAAATGTATTAAACATAAATGAAAAACAGTATTTATTGAACATCGAAGTAGTTTTTGAGTAATAGTTTTGAGTTTAGAATAAATTGCCGAATCACAAGTCTTTGCACCTGAACAGAGGAAGGTAACACAAATATTACTTAAATTGTTAGCATAGATGAAGTTCATATCTAATGTGCGTCATTTTCATGAAGAATATATATTTATGTATTATTATAATTGATATAAGATATTGTACAAATATATTCAACTGAATGAAAAGTGTGATGGCTAACCTGATATCAGCATCCCTACTTGCACTTGTCCATAATACTTGTGCTTATTCTTTAGAACATAGGCATTTAGACTCCTGTCAAAACTTAAATACGATAAATTCGGCAAACTTTCTGCCAGGTTTAGTTTTTCCTGAGAGAGGACACTTGATTTCTAATAATGTCAATTCAGAGCAATTCATTGTGAAACCATCAGGACTATATCCTATCCAAGCAACTTGTGGATGCACAATTAAACCAATCTTTACGGCTGCTTTTTTTTTCTGCCAATTTGTTCGTTGCTTGATTTCCTTTAAAAGAAGGCGAAAACATGCTTATCAATTTCCAACAACATATCGTAACATATGGAACCGGTAATTCTCTTGGGCCCTTTTTTCTTTCCATCTCTTTACTTCTTGTCTTACTGTACAAACTGCCAGATTCTTCACAAGTCAATTGAATGAGACATTCAAATAGCCTTTTATCTGCTATATCATCAATTTTCACTGCAGCAACTTCTTCGTCACTAATAACTTGGCGGTTAAAAATACTGGAGAGGAGCATTTCTGAGGGGCTTAATGCGTTAGAAGAGGTTGGTTCATTTCTAAAAGTAAAGGGTAGAAAACAATATGCAACATTAATATCTATTTTGTAACATAAGAAAAGTAGCCATTCTGATAAGTTATATTTTAATTACATACAAGATGTTAAAAATCAATAAAACTGAGGAGAATGGCAAGATTATGTAATTGGTTATAAGAACATGCTCATTGAGACAAAACGAAGTTTTTAAATTTATAGTATGAATATTTTATGAAACAATTAAATTCCCATAGTAGCATTAAAATACAATTTAATACCCAAGTTGTCCATGTTCCTTCTAGACAGCGATCATTTTCTGAATGAATGCAGATATCTTGATTTCTGCTGGATATGCATGCTGCACATAAACCGAAAATCAGTTTCCCGTCAGATTTTATGGGTAAGACGGGGTGGAAGAGCTTTGTTGGAGGTGAAATCCTGCAGTACACAAGTCCAAAATAATTCTCGATGGACTTGAAATTATCTTGAATAATTTCAGGATGGCCGATGGGGTACGCACAGAATTTGTTTACATAAGGGTACAGGGATGTAAAGTCGATATACTTAATTTTCTCTCCCTCTTCTATCTTGTGATAAAGCTTTGAGGGCCCTGTTCTTCCTCCATAGAATGCATCCCTAGGGTTGAGGCGAGGTCGTGTCTGCAAAAAAAAAATCATTAGTCTTTTGAAACTGATTATTTACATATATGTGTGTCTAAGGGGTGTTTTATTCTTAAATACTTACTTTATAAGTTAAAAGAAACTCTTTTAGTTCTGGATCGTTTTTCTTCAGATCAACAAAATCATGCTCCCAAACCGAAACAACGGTTTATCCTGTTTGACGCAATTCCCTTTCTTTTTTCAACGTGTCTCTCTTTAAAGCCCACATAGGGCGGTTGTAAAATGGGTGAATAGATGACTCGTCAAAGCACTTGTCGCAACCGTGGTAGAAGCACCCGTGAAACTCGTAAACTGTCTTTCCATCTGGCTCGTATCCATCCACAAAATAGTTTAAAATCTTCTGTTCTCCTCGACATCTTTCAGAATATTGAATTTGTTTTCCTAAACAAATGCAGAAAAAATTTACACATAAACAAAATTCCAACACATTTAAAAAAAAACAAAAACATGTAAGGTTTTAATACAAACTTTACCTGTCTTCATTTCCATAAAGGCTAACCATTCAGCAGCAATTTCACTTGTCTTCATTTCCATAAAGGCTAACCATTCAGCAGCAATTTCACTTGTATTTACATTCCTTACATAACCATTCAGAGGTATAACAGCTCTCGTTTCTCCTTTTAAATGTAGATCTATGTAAACACCCATACACGCTGCTGCGATTGTCACAAAGGAAAAAGGATCTAAGCCGTTAGTAGCAATGAACTCCTCTCGAAAACGCAGACAGCATCTCCTTAAAATGTCGACATCTGATCTAGTAAATTAAGCATTAGAAAATTAGATAAAAAAAAAATCTAGTATCATGACAAACTTAATCTATTTCTTTACACGAGCAACGTATTACCTGCAATAGTCACATATTTCTTTTTGAAAATCAAAAAAGTCACACTAGTGACTTTCGTACCATGATACGAATTTTTCTCTCTCCTCGGGGCTGAGTTGGTGTGGGGTGAACATTTCAGGAGAAGGCATAGACCCAACGTAGAATTGATTCTCTCTGAAAAAAAAAATCATTCATGTAAATCACATACCATCCTATTAACATACATTAAAAATAAATTAAACTCATTTACCTAGTGTTAAAAAGATGAGGAAAATATCCCTTCTTTAATTCCTGAAGTCCAAAACTCTTTGGCAGCTTAGCAAGACTCATGGGAAGGAAACTCAAAGAGTCGATAATCCTCATGTTCAATGATTGTATGGTGACACATAAAAACTTTGAACCCCGCATGATGACTTTTGGTTTAATAGATTGCTTGACAAGATAATTAATTAAAAACATTCCATCATAACCCTGCATATTGTGGGCTATGACGGTGTGATTCTTATGAAGAGGAGAAAACAAGAACTCTCCAAACATGTCGAGAGAGTCATAACCCTTGAAAATTACTTCTCTGCCATCAAAATATTGCATAACTATGAAATTAGCTATGTGCTCCCCGGATAACTGATCAGCCTCTATATCAAAAAAGATGTAATTGTTATGAAGAGGGGATTTCTTTTCTTTCTTTTGAATGAAACATTTGTGATCTAGGGAATCACAATTTTTTTTGCAATTCTTGCAAAATACTTGACCGCAGACGTGAGGTGTTTTCTTCTTATAGACTTTGTAGCAGTCTCGGCGTAGACCGAATTGCGAACAAAATGAGTTTTGCTTATTTCCGACTTCCTTATGTCTATGGAAACAGTCTTCTGATTTGCAAATCTTATTACAATCAGGGCAGCAAATTCTTAAATTCCCATAACAGGTGTCATTAAAACATGTATGGCATCGATTTTTGCAGCGGTGGTCAGCAACATTTTTGTAGCCTAGATCGCAAATAGAGCAATAGTATGATTTACCGAGAAACCCTGTCATGGATGTGATGGTGTGAAAGTGTTCCCCTACTTTCCATATAAAAATCTTCTTTTCGCGATCCACTCCTCTGTGTATAATCTAAAAGATACAATTCCACAGTTTTAATACAGGTATTAAATTAAATGGTATTATATATAAATCTATAACAAATATACATTGAGAGACATAATTACCTTATTAAATGCTTCAGCATCTACAACGTGAACTTGAATGTCCAGAGTTTGAGCAAACAATTCCATCTCTGCAAATCCACAGGGACCTAAAGGTACACTTGCTTTTTCATGCAGCTCTAACGCTAGTTTTTTTTGAAGGGGTCTGTTAGATCTACGAATGTGAGCATATCGGGGATCGTGATTGAGTTGTGCCACAGCAACAACAATAGCTCTGGAGCAACACAGTTGGTCGTCATTGCTGATTGTGACCACAGATTTTTTTATTTATAGCGCTCATCGCTAGATTTGTCACACATGTACGACCGCTACCCCTCGGCCTTCGCACAGTCACGATATCAATTTTCAAAGTTGAATCAAATTTAATGTCTTTTCCCGACTGAGCAACCTTCTCTATTTCAGCTATAATTTTTTGTGGAGTGATATCACATGGGATTATTTAAAACTCCTGAATTCAAGACAATGCGTATTAAATCATGAGGATTTAAGTTTTCTGTTGCCTGATTAATTAACCTTTGAAACAGGTTATCAATCCCTTCCTGCACTTTTCGCAAAGAAATGCCTGAGGGTTTGGTTAGAAAGTTAACATCATAAACAATCTCGTTGCCCTCATACTTGCGAATCGATCTATTCCTTCTTTCGACGAGATCAAACAGGAGCTGATTCTAATAAAACAAATAAAATCATTCAAAATTTAAAATAAATTTATCAGAAAAAAAAAAGAAAAAAAATTCTTTAATTATCTAAAAAATCTTACATCAACATCTACATCATTTTCTAACCTATCGACATCTGTGCGTAGCCGTTTAGCATTCTATAATAAAACAAGAGAGTATTTTAAAAATATCGTTTTTTCTACACATGCTTTTATATAAAATATATAAATTAAAACATTTTATCTATACATACATGATTCATCTCTTCTAACTTATCAAAATAGGCCGTCGTGTTCGGCTGAATTCTGCTTTTCGTTTACCGTTCTGAGGAAAATAAATAAAAAGACGAATATTTAACACGAAGTCGGATTAACTTAAAAAAAAAAGTAAATATAATACATACAGAAAAACCTGCACCCGTCTGGAAGGATTCAAAATCATCGGTAAAATCGGTCTTCTAAGTTAACGCTGTCATCAAAATCGGCACCAAAGTCAACCGTTTCCAAATCTAAGGCTTTAATCTCATCTACCTAAAATAAATGCTTATGTCAAGACGTAAACATATTGAACACGTCATAAACAGAAGTTCACCAAAATGTACGTACCTGACTATCAAAAGATTGGGTTTTAAAAATCTCGTCACACAGCTCTGAACAATCAACAACAGCTTCCGTGGAAAAGTAACGAAGTACAAGTAAAAGTACTGCTATATATGCATTTGAGTGAGAACTGAATTAGAACACTGACACCCCTTATAAACAAATTATCTGGCCTTGGATACAGTGTTTACGTACAACAATCATCACAACACTCGTCAATTGGATGAGCATAGGTTGATAAAGGACAGTATGAAATAGACATATCGTTCGTGGTGTCTTTCACACGATATAAAAACACTTGGTTGCAGCGAGAGCACCAGTGAGCATATCGTGTAACGAAACGATATAAATCTAAGTGGCGAACAATTATGTGTATTTGTTCGCTAGAAATGTCTTCAGGATCAGCTTCACTGTACACACAATCCCGACATAAGTTGACAGGAGAGTTGTCGACAGAATAAGCGACCCTGGTGGCACTTTGATGAGAACGATAAAAAAGCATTTGCATAACGCGTCTCCAGATCCACTCTTCGTTATACAGGAAATGGCGACCCCAGAGATTAACTTCTCCGGTTTCAAAAAATCCCTGTAAAAAACGGATCCTGCCAAGATGTGAATCAGGCATAAAGCGGAGACGGTTATTAGGATGATAAGCGCTGTATAAGGAAAAACGAAGCAACTCTCGTTTGAGAGCGATAGGTATGTCCAAATCGGCAATAATTGAATAGCTTTCGATATTGCGAACAATAGTGAAAAAACAGCATAATTTTAAAGAATAAGCCATAGAGTAACGGAGTTAATCCACGAGACGTCTTATGCGAGCTGCAGACAGGCACTGAATGATGATTTTTACTTTGCATTTAAACTATTTATCCATCAGACTGTGTGAACATCTACAGGAAAACTAT